GACACCCATTTGTCAGCGCGCCATAACAGCACCATTGTCAAATGCTTGGCCACGACAGTCGTCAATGTGAATTCCATCCTTCTCCGATTCTGGCAAAATCAGTGCAGAAATTTTCTCTGCCCATTTGCTGTTGGTCTCAACGAAGCTGAGAAATGACTCCTCTACCCTCACTTCATTTTCACTCATTTGATTTTAGTGAGATACGTCGGGCGTGTTATCGAAAATCTAGCAAAACATAATTGCTTTCATTGACCTAATCTAAGAGTTTCTTTCTCATCCGATTGTCCCAAAGTGTTCGCGAAGTACAGGCTCACACTTGGCTGACAAATGTACAAACGCTGAAAAATTCCGTATATTTCTCGCCTCTTTTGTCATTTTGGATGTCTTCTAGGTGAACACAGTGTCATGTTTTGCTTGGTGAGAACCCCGACGATATCAAGTATTCTAGCTAAATTTCACGCAACTGATTCTCTACAACTACTTGCTCCATTTTGTCAAATGCCCCTCCCTCAACTCGCCGGATCGCTACCTCTGCACTTGAGGAATGACTTAGCACGCGACTTACTAGATTCGTATTCACATGCTTTTGGATTTAGTTTCCCCCAGTCGAAAAACTAGACTATACCGTTGAAGTAATCCTGCAGCAGAAACCACACAGGGCCACTTTTGAAGGAGAATGCACTATGGGTGTCGCAATCTTTGCTCACCGTTTCGCAAATCCCGAAAATAACCAAGTAGTTCGTAGATTATTAGCCTCAACTTTGCATTAGTTCCAGGTAGCACCAATTAGCAAATTCATCATAGATATGCTGGAAGACAGTAGATCCGAATCGGACAAGCATAGTAAGAATTTCATGAACAATCTTAACAGCCCACTGGCGGACATCCATATAATCGATTGATGTGATTGTTATCGTACAAAAATGTGGTTGCATTTCCAATTCTTCTACTTTAGAGCGCCTCTTCTGCATCAGCATTAGAAAAATTTCCCGCTGCAACCCTGCTGTCAATATCGCTTCCTGGTGCTTGGATATCAACGTTTACAGCACTAATTTCATCTACGGTCATCATATGATTCTCAACCTTCGCTTTTACCACTTCAGTCATGGAAGTAATGTGATGAATTTACACTTGGTATTAAACAACCATCCGTAATAAAAATGCCGTCCCGAGGCGGACCGCCCCCCGTCCCCTATGCTACGCCTCTGGGTGCTTGTCCGAGCAAGCATTTGCATGCGATGTGCACATTGCAAGCGCACGCAAACAGGCGAAAAATGAATGAAGCAATGAGTCGGTACATCACAAGTTGATATGGGCAAACTGCTAAGTCGTATGCAAATCGGTGCACGTAGGCGAAGTCACTGATGGGACGAGTGCAGCGCATGAAGCTTCCTGACATCAAGAAATAGCGATTGGCTATGTACCAACCTGCGCACTAAGACTTTAATGTGGCTAATAAGGCGACAGCCTTAGTGCATGTTCCACGGATAGCGCCGGTTGCTTTTCCAGAAAGAGTGACACTTACATAGAATAAGCGAGTGAAGTCAAAGCGAGAATGTGCTTCATACACCCATGAAGGGTGAACATGCAGCTCGAATGAGTTCGCACCGCAAGAAAGTTAGTGCTTAACAAGTCCCGTACTTGGTGTGGGTGTGAACCACAATTACGCACGCAACCATGCCACGATGGGTGGTTGATGTACTATCCTGTCCGCGCAATATGACAGCCAACCGTCTTCTCTGGGCGTTTTTGGATGTTCGCAGAGGCAGTGAATGTGACCATAAATGGCTTATTCTGACCAAATATGCTGTTAGACAATGTTTAACATCTTTAATACCTTTGTTCATTGCTCATAGGCTATTACAATTTTGTGAAGTCCTAATTTCGTTAGGCGCAGGTGAACGTGGGAGCAGCCAAAGTGACCGATTTGCATGCTCTCGGTTGTCCCAGTTGGATACACGTGGCCGCAAATGTTGAAAGTGGTGCTTAAGTGCAAACGCGTGGCATAAGTAGCAATCGAGAATTATCGCAAGCGTGGTAACAAGCTCCCATCGGAGAACCGCTTGAAGGAGTGTAAAATCACATCCCAATCCATGGAGGCAAAGCGAAGTCACTGAGGCTTATCAACTACGGAAACGAATCTTTCTTTTGAGTCGTAAAGCCGAGATGTACGACAGCCTCCCCCAGAAACGGCGACTTGCTTAATGACGACTTAAAACGGAACTTCATCACGTGAACTTCCTATCAGCTGACATACAGAAGCTCAAAGTCCAATATCAGTAGTTCACCTCAAATACAATAACTTGACGACCTCACGAAGGTCAGCTTGAAATCTCACCGCACACTCATGTCCCTAAACACGGCTGCGACATAGGAAACACTATCGTTTTTACACAAGGCCTCCTCAGCTTGTTTTCTGAGTTTAAGGGTCGCAAAGCCTCGACGCCCTGGGACACGATCACGCTGCATGAAAAACGCGATTAGGCTTTACGGACACTGCCATCTCATGCCTTTGGCACCCCAAGGCACCTTCGGTGCTTAGTCCGAAGAGATTGCCACTCCTCTCTTCGTCTCTACAATGAGACCAATGCTACAGTACGGCTCACCCGCATACTGTCCTATCACTTGGGTCGAGGTGGAAAGGACTGAGCGAGTACAGTATGTTGCCCGCGGGATTGATCCTCAATTTACGAGGTGCGACATGTGAAGACCGGTGTAGGAGACTATTGCTTTACACCCTATCGTGTCGTCGAATTCGGGTTGACCTCACGATGACACACTGGGTACATCACGGGGATTACCCCATGTTGAGACCGCTGAGGCAAATAAGCGCGCGAATCATCACACGAGGACACTGATACAAGTGTGTAGTACCGTATTTGAAGCGGGTCGTCCACAATCTTTGTTTCGAACAGAGAGTGGCGAATGTGTGGATCAACCTGCCCCCGCATGTAGTTGAGGCAAAGTCAGTGACGGAAAACAAGAGCTTTCAAGACAAACACTGCCGATGTGAAATATATCGAGCGCACTCTAACATAACGAGGGTTTGTACCTGAGTGATATTGGATGCAACTACACAGGTATATCATTACTTGCTGCTTCAAACCAGTAATAAGTAACCGAAACCTGGCTGAATGACAAAATGGGGGATGCGAAGATCGCCTTGTCATGCATGTCCATCCTACGATACCATCGACCTAGTAAGGGGGCAGCGTCCATTTGTACCATGGCAGTGATATGCATTTCGAACTGGTTGATAACCAGGGATTCATGTTGTTGACTGGCTTCGGTGCCGCTGGTAACTCCGACGTGGCGACACATGTTTGGTGGCCATTGTGTAACGCCTACATTCATGTGAACTGTAGATATGGACAACTGTTTGAATAATGCTCAGAAGACGGTTTCAGCACAACCTTACAGTCACATTGTCCTTGCCGGAAACGTCAACTTGCATGATACAGAGATTCCAGCCACCTTCAGTGAGCAAATTAAAACCGAACTGTAATAGCCAGTCGCTGACGTACCACTTTATAATCCTAATACCTCACCTACGTGTTTCAGAACAGGGAACAAACCGGCCATCCTTGACCTTGTGTTTGCCAGTGAGGAACGTATGATCGACACAATAACACTGAATAGCCCGTCGGGACGCCGCAATCCTGCGACAGTACTTTTCCATTACGTCGGAGACCCCGTGACTTAAGTTCGCGACTGCGGCTTTCTCTGTGGCAACCTTATGAGGTAGGAATGTCCTCCCCCGGATAGTCGTAATCCATCATCTTTACGACTTGGGTCATGGAGTCACACTTGGTTCGCGTAACGGAAAGGAGATGACGCAAGTCACGTTATGAGTGGACCGAATACAACGTGCGAAGTAGAGGCCAATTATTTGGGAGCATTCATTCCCACCTGACATGGCTGCCACAGAGAAAGCTCTGTAAAGTCGTTCCTTCGGTATAAAATATTCGTTTGTAAATAGAATCGGTCTTTCTCTTACCTCAGTGCCAGGTGGGTAACTAGTGCAACACATGCTCCGCTCGGCTGGCAAGTAGTGTGCAACGTATACGAACGTATCTGTTTCCGTTTCTGTGACGTTAATGGACTATGCTAAAAATAGAGGGTTGGTAAGACAGTGGGTGATAACACGTTGGGCTTGAAGTGAGTTCACATTTTTGTGGTGTATCTCGCAAACCTGCTCCTCATCGTTTGTTTCAGAAAACTTTGGCTTACACTCCAGATTCCCTCGATAGGGTTTAGCGCCGGAAAGTAAGATGCTACTCGTTACATCCTTTCGGATCGGTAGCGTTGTTCTTGGAAAACGGATTTCAAGTCTGCATAGCACGGGGCGTTGTCACAAATCAATAAACACCGTCCGATAAAATCGGAACCGTTGGCATCAAGCACCTGTCGCAGCCACTATGCGCACCTTTCCTTGTGGAAACTACAACGTAGTACGGAAAAAACAATCAACCCTTCGTTTGTCATGGCTCCGACAACGTGCACATTTTGGCCACGATTGTTTGCCACAGTACACTTTGCGCGGCTCCCGCGTGGTGAACGGCCCCGAGTGCGTGCGCAGAAGAGACTGAAATTAGTCTCGTCAATCCACACCGGTTACCGTCCTTCTGTCTGGAAATTCAGCAGCTGCATGACAAAGGGTTTCCGTTGCCTTTAATCTCCAGCGTGTTCTTTGATTCGACAACGGCGTGCAACTTCTTCATTGTTATCAGCCGAGCGTCTAGTTATCGGGCGACGGTACTGGTACTGACCTCAACCTCGTACTCCACCTTCAAACGCAGACAGTGTTGCAAGTGTGATTGTTGGTTCTTCGGACACCCACTCTAGCAGAGAGCCTATGTGACTTTTTGTCAGAGCCTTGCGAGGAGCACCTCGTGTACCTTATTCCTTAGGCCACTCACGCTGCTTAGTATTACCTGAAGCAATTCGATAAAAGCCCTGCATATGGATTCTGGTAGGGCGGAAATTGACCGCCGACTGACCACCTGAAAAGCCGCAAGATGGAGGTCATGCTTACCAGCCGTCCGCCTGTTTTTGAGGTCATTGATGGCTTCCTTCAATTTTAGCCGATTTGCCAATGGAAGATATGGCTAAACGCTGGCATTACCACCTTTGATTGTGAAAGCAAAGCGGTAACGCTTTGCGTTCCTTCGGGGTAGAATTAGTCAGGGCGGCGGAGTTGGCGCACAGACAGGGACGTTCCCCAGCCTGGTCATCATTGTGATTGTAACACCAGGAAAACCAGGTAGAAGTAGCTTGGTGATGCACAGTTCGAACCACTGGAAGCTATCCAGCATGGGTCCCCTGAGGAGAGCTGCCGCAAATCCAGCAGTTACGGAAAATAACGTTGCTTTCCATAAAATAATCACCTTGACGAGGCGTATTCACCCCACGAATTTTCGAGTTCAATCGGTTCGATAGAAAGGTAGATTGCTTGTTTATCTCCAAAGTAGCTGGGGCAATCAGGGTTGGAAGTTTTCCTCCACCTTAGGCACCCATGTTATATTCCTCTCAGTTTTTGCGGGGGCTTCGGACTATTTTAGTTTTCTTCCTCCTGCTTTTACTGATCGCAGGGGTCTCGCTTTGGGCGCCGTCGAATACATCATGGGGCCTTGCTAGCGGCATTATTGGTAGCGGGCGCACACGACACTCTAGCCGTCACCTCAGGCGGACTTTCAGATAGATGGAATTGGCTGAGTGGCACTGTATAATGGATGGAAATCCCAAATGTCCTCATGAAAATATCAACTTTTAGGTCGAGAAGTATGTTGGGTGTTACTTGACAACTCATCCGTGACAGGACGCCCAAACCAGCGGCTACAGCATTCAGCGAAACTGAACATCAAGCCATGACTAATCGACAGCACTGCGCATTGATCAGAATTCAGGCCGGTACAGGTCTCATGGTACAAGCGGTTGCATACATAGCATTACATGCTACCAGACTAGTTCGTCACGGACATTGAGTAGCACGTATTGCTACAAACAGCAGCAGGCCCGCTGTACAATGCAGCAGAAAACACATCAGTGACGGCATGCTGTGAATGCGACATGATTTCAAGAACAGTGCAAAACAAACAAAAGCACAAAACTGGTGTGCTGTCACTTGCGAAGCAATCAACAGAAACAATAACGAGTAAAACAGGATGCAAAGGGTTTGATCACGAAAACGATGGAAGACTCTTGCTGAGCGACCTGGATGGGTACGACGTAGTCGGAAAAAATGTTTATCTAAAACTGTAGATATCAAACGAAATACGACAAAAGCCAACATAGTTTGCACGAGACTTAAAGATAAATATCTCTAAACTGTAGTTTGAAAGCAACTACTAAAAGAGACAGCACGTACAAAAATGCAATTGACCTCCAAAGAGGAAACCGAAGGGCAGCCGAAACCTAACAAGCATGCCGGTAGCGATTCAGGTAACTAAGTAACACGTTGAAAAAATTAAAACATCGGTGTGTACATGTTCATGCAAATGAAAGAAAAGGTTAGACCAGGTTCCAAGGACGATACAGGCTTCCGCCTAACGAGCGTCCTGTTTCCTGCACCGGGAAACGAACCAGAGCCCCGTACTGAGACGACAAATGCATACTGGTCATTATTCAAAGCACATCGGACAGTAGCTACGATGTTGACAATGTAGTAAGCCAAAAGTGGTAAAAGAAGGACTCACCACCAAAAACTTCATCTGATGGAAGGCAAAAGCTAAGTGCTCCCGTGACTGGGCCGACCCAACTGCTAGCAATAGTCGAGTCCAAAGGACATATCTGTATGACGAGTTCAGCCGAATTGTCCGGAGGCACACAGGGGAGAGGAATACGGCAATCTGCGCCGATCGGAAGCCAAACCACAGCGTTGGAGACGTGATCGACGCTAGCCAATTTCGCCACGGATGGATTTGCCTGTAAGTAAACGATAGAGTAGTGACGCTTACTTCCGAGCGCAGGTAAGATCCGTTGCACCAGGTTGCTGATCCGCGATTCTCTACGATTAGTTTGAAAGCCACATCACATTCAATGGTTGCATGTGCACTTAAAATGCGCAGATCGAACGGTAGTGGGGGACAAGGAGTGTAGTCGAAGTCAATAGAATTGCTGAATGTGTGACTAGTCGGACCGTCAGGTGGCGTTGTGAAATTAGTGCTGGAGGATGCAGCAGCATCAAGACCAAAGTCGAAATAGGCACCGATAGCCCTTTGTAGATTCCTGACATTGACAGTTTATGACAAACTCACCAACCGGAGAGATCGAGGAAGAAGCTGCAAGACTCGGATGAAATGCCGCTCCCAATGACCGATCTCAGTTGATTTACCAAAGCATCTCTGTCAGATGTCACTAAAGAATAAAACTGCTCCAACAACTGAGCATCTAAGTCACAGCTGCCGCGTTCCATGACAATTCAACGAAAAACATCAGGATGCACAGAAAAATGTAAAAGCCTATTCGTAGACAGCATAATGATTCGAGGAGCCAGCGTTTAATGGTAGGGTTCCACCAGTATGTCACGCGAAAATTTAAATAGGAAATTAAAAAGAAACAGATTGTTTCTTTTTTATGACCGTTTTACGTCCGGTTACATGCTACAAGCTGTTTTACAATGTTATCGTAATTTGTAGCTTAAACTATTAAAAAATTTGGTAACTACTTGCCCAGCACCGCGCTCCGAACCATCGTGTTTGTTAATTTCGAAATCGTGCTTCGTATACTATTTTGTTTCGCAATCAAATCCGCGTTCGTTAATAGTTAATAATAAACGACATATCAGGTGCTGGAGGACCTACCGTGCGGCTCCATCAACTAGCACCTATGCTAGATACCGCGAGGCTAAAAATAGGTGTAAACAGCACTTAAGAAAGCTCGGCTGGTGTACAAAAAGGAATTAGCAGATAACTTCGGAAACTCCGAAGAGGTTCTTCGCTTATGTTAAGAGACGCTGTGCTTCAATTTCGGTAATCCCAACTTTGATGCGAACCGATGGAACGCGGGCGTATGCGGACTCAGATAAGGTTCGTGTACTTAGGGAACAATATGCAGGGGCTTTTGTACGTGAGGCTGCGTTGACTAACAGTGAACTTGTCCTCAGGGTACCTGAGGGTTCTTATTTAGCTGAGTTTACTGTGGTGGAAACGCAAGTCCTTAAACTGCTGCAAGTACTAAACCCTTCCAAAGCAGCTGGACCTGATTCAATTCACCTGAAGCTTCTGCATGAGCTGGCGGTAAAACTAAGTGGACCGCTGACAATGGTGTTTAAGAAGTCACTGTACATTGCCATCGGAATGCAAGGAGGCTGTCATCTGTCATATCTTCAAAAATGGCGACAGGAGTCTGTCAGCCAAGTATAGGCCAGTCAGTCTGACTAGCGTCGTGGTCAAACTGCTTGAAAAGCTGGTGAGAGCTTTGTTGGAATGTCACCTGAATGGATTTAATCTACTCAGTAGTGCACAACATGGATTCCGAAAGGGGTTTCCGTGTCTGACGAATTTGTTGGTTGCTCGTGAAGCTTGGGCCGAGGCAATGAACAATGTCCATGTAGTGGATGTGCTTTTCGAAGATTCCTCGAAAGCATTTGACCAGGTATTCTTCTTGTGGCTAGCACAAAATCTGAGCTCCTGCGGCGTATCTGGCCGTGCCCTCCACTGGGTAGCTGCGTTCTTGCAGAGAAGAGAGCAGTGTGTAGGTGTGGGTCGCAGCTTATCCTTTAGGCCAGCGGTCTTTAGCGGTGTCCCACAGGGCTCGGTCCTTTGACCGATGCTGTTCTCCATCTACGTAAATGACCTCCCTGGAGAGCTTGGGTATCATCCCTATTTTTTGCTGATGACCTTAAGCTATGGAAGGTTGTAAATGTTCCTGGGTGTCTAAGGCCATACAGCATGCCCTGGACAGACTCTGAGTATGGTATGCGTTGGGGCTACTGCCCACTAACCTGGCTGTTTTCCATCCTTGTTATAAGAGCAAGGCTTCCTTCTTCCAGCTACGTGCTCGGTGGGGTCGAACTCCTCCTTGTCTACAACCAGGTAGACCCAGGCGTCGTCTATTCCTCGTCATTGCATTCTGGTGACAACTGGAAGAAGGCCTCAAATAGGGGTATCAGTATGTTGCGGTTAATACGCCGTTCTTTCGGGGTCTTAACTGCCGACATATTTGTGAAGCTGTTCTCAGCCTTCGTTCGGCCCCATCTGGAATGCTGCGTCCAGGCTTGCCCGCCATGCCTTGTTTTCGGGACAAAATGGAGCTCGAGAGGGTTTTGAGAATAGGTACCAAATTGGTCGATGGGGTTACGGGGGCAACCGTACCTCGAACGTCTACTTAGCTTGGGTATGTATTCATTGCCTTACCGACGGCTTCGAGGCGACCTTATCCTTACTTACCGCATTTTAACGGGGAAGGTTGGACCGGACTTGAGCTGGCTATTTAGCCCGGCTAGGTTACCTAGTCTTCGCGGTCATCCTATGAAGCTACACAAGCCGCGTTCTGACTGGATCAGGGCGGAAACTCGGTCATCGCTGGAACTCGATTCCAGAAAGTGTAGTCAGCGAACCAACGGTTAAGGGTTTCGAGCGTCCGTTAGACGCTCTTAGGTGGCAACACGTAACCTTTCCCTTCTCTTGACCATATACATCAAACTTTTAGTTCTTATTCTGTCATTCTCTTCACTCTTTATTGTTATCCTTCATTTAAATGAGTTTCATTGCCCTTTATCTTCCATTTACTTTCAACTTCTTTCTTACTTCACGTAACCCACACAGCGGGGAATGCTAGTGCAGGGAACGTGGGCAGTAATTAGTTGATTAGGGTGTGTTTCGTGAGTTTCGTTTTAGATCTATCAAGACCTAGCAACTTATCATTTCCTGGCTCAAAGATTTACTCAAGAAGGAACACTCAAGGGACTTTCCTATCGTTCCAGTCCATCTGAATATGAAACTGAATCAGTTCTGTTGTCCAGAATTAAGCAAAATACGCTAAATCTTGCCAGCCGGAATACTGGTAAGTGAAGGACTTAATATCAGTGGTTATAATACATAAAGGTCCGCCATTACGGCTTAATGCGCCTTGTGGTTTGTCGACACATTACCTTGCTGCTACTCGGTTTTATCAACCTTGGAGTTTGTTCAGTGTTCTTTTTCTACGGTAAATCATCTAATTATAGTGTGTTACGCGACGTTGAGCACACTAGATCGCACCTGTGCTCCTACTTTCCGCTTAGACTGGCAATATTATACAAATGGAATAAGGAGTCTGAAGTTCTGCAGCCTGTGTATGAATACCAGTGTGCGTCGTGCAGAGTGTTGACGCCTGCAGTACCAATGTACCCATGCAACGGACAAAACCAGGTGCCTTAAATGATTTTACATGCCTTTTCCGGGTCAATTCACCTAAGACAATTTAAGCTTTAATAACCCTAATGCATTCATTTGTAACATTTTCACCACCGCTGCGGACGCCTGGATTATTATAGTAATATACATGCTTGGTGGAACTCACAACTCTTACTCCAACGACCGCTCGAGTAACATGTATGTGACTTGAGAGTTTGAGGCAAAACGGCATCACGATGGGAATGAGAACGTGAGAACATAATGCTGAATTGCGAACGAGACAAAGAACAGGAGCGCGCTTTGTAAAGATCTAGGTGCACTTTATGTAATCGAGCAATTATTTCCCTAGAAGAATATTCATTCCAAGCAACAACAGGACTATAAATGAGCACATCAACTAACGAATCTCTATACAAGCCGCTGCATCTGTACAGGTGTATTACCGATCGTACCAGAAAGGTGCAGTCTTGCTAAAGCAGTCCAGTGCATATAACAGGACAGCAGTATAACCAACGGGGAATAATGCAATTTGTCACAAACCTGAACATTAAAGTAGGAGGTACTGAACGTACCTTAAGGATGAGGGCATAAAATAAAGTTATCCTTTTTTGAATAGTTTTACAGACCAGCGAGGACCACCCAAGTTTCCGGGACCAAAATCCACCGAGATATTTGGTCGTGGAAGTGATGGATATAAGAGTTTTACTCACAGTAAGGGTGGGGATTTACATTTGTGAGACGGCAACTTACCGTCGCAAAGAAATAAAAACACTTCCTCACTTTATTTTGACTCACGGTTTAAGAAGGCTGGATGAAGACCGTGCGACCAGCTCCTCTAACTCCTGTTGCAGTGATGTGGAACCATGAATAGTTGGAGCTTACAACGTTAGCATATTTTCACCATGTACAGGGAGACGTTCGACATCCAAGGAAATTAGAAAAGTGATGGATTGCTACATACGCAACACCACACTCGGTACGCTGGACAGAGGATTTCATACCGTACAATTTAATGAAGTGTGTAGGGTCTGCTAAATAGTCACTTTACAGATTACGCAACCCTTGGGACTTCCTTTTCAGATAGCAGCATTGGCCAATCCATGCTTCCATAAGCAATCGAGTAATCCAGGAAGCGACAGCGTACGGCTTTACATTTGATCTTATGCAGCTGCAATAGAATGAACAAGGTATGCCACAAACTTCAACGTACAGAGCTGAGGTTTATATGCGAACTGGTAGATATCCTCATCAGCAGCCGTTGTACGCATAGGCAGACTAAACACTTTTCTGAAACTAATAAATGCACCGATGTACAAGCAATTGGGTGATGATATTGTGATCAACTTTTTGGTACTGGATTTATACTGGCCGAACAAAAAGGTCAGGGACTTTTTTAAACAAAGCTGTTAAATGCAATGTGCAATAATCAGCACACACTTTTAACGCTAACGGTGAGACAGCATCAGGGTCACGCGCTTTGTTTGTCGTCAACTGTTTGCTTGCCTTGTGAACGTGGCATTGAAGGGCACTGCTGGACTTGAGCTAATGTAGATGGGCATGGAATGTGGGCTTAATGAGACGGAACTAATAACCTACTTGAGATTTTCCTCATCATCTTAGCCGCTCTGTTCGCAGACGCTCTTACCTCGCGGCTGTCTCAAAAGCCTCCATAGGTTGTGAAAGATATGGTTACTAAGAATAAATTCCACCTATGAGCGCTTTAGCCTTTTTATCCTGGATTTTAATGCTATCTTTATAAGTAAACAACTGCGGCGCAGAACACGTCTGCAAAGGCAGGCTCATGCCAATACAATCAGGTATGTCGTTAAGTGTACAAAAATATAGCACTTTAACCGTCAACAAACTGGATTAGTGTGCATGTATATAAATAAATAAATAAATAAATAGTATATTCTCGAATTTCCGAGACACACCTGACCAGGCATGATCAACGTTTACAAGCAATTATGTTTCGCAACAAACACGTTGCTATGTGTGTAATCGGCAGTAAGCCGAAAGTGGTCCAAGCTTTGGAAATTGTAAAATTAATCTTGAGGTATAAATTCGTCAAAACATGACGACAAGTTGGGTACTTGTGTGCGTAGTGTAAACAGGATGGCATTCCGTTTGTAGAGAAAACTTGTCAGGAAAATAGTACATTAGGATTCTGGACGGCTTGC